TTCTCCCAAGAAGAAATTAAATCCAGTTGAGATACAACATTGTCCGGACGCCTTATGATAACAAGGCGGTTGGCTGCTCTCGGATCTGTAGCTACCATGACTATGTAAGTTGCTACATCTTCCTCATAATTTAGTACGGCTGCGTCAAAATATTGAATGTATGGAAAAGAGTCAACTTCAATTCTTTCCAGTTAAACACATGTACATATATATCTATTGAAATATCTTAATTTTGCAGTATCATTTGGGTGCAAATAATTTTAATGGGGTATACTTATCATTCTTAAAGATTATACTTTATTTCAATATTTGTGAATATAGCAGTTTGTAAGTGGTACCTTTAGAATTAATGGGGGGAAAGCCCAAATAACCATGTTATCAAGAGAAAAAAAAATTCGAGTTTTGCAGGCCTTGACATATATAAAAACCTTTTGCTTCTTCACTTCCATATATGATGACTTGGTGGTCTTTCTCTCTGGATGGAGCAAATAGTTAACAAAGTACACTGCAAATGAGTTGGTGGAGATGAAAGTGTAAGAGAGTCTAGCCGCCTTCGTGGGTCTTTGGATCTTTCTTTTGTTGGAGAGCATTGCCTCGAAAGGTGGAAGAGCTGTCACTCTGTCTGCTTCGTTTCCATACTCATAAGGAACAAACCTCTGTAAGTTACAAAAGTGTGAGGTCGACGGTATATCATCATATTTATTAAAATGATATTACACATGCATCCTTAAATTTGAGATTTTCTATGATCTTATTATAGTTACTCTTAAATCTCCACCTGTTGACAATTGCTTTTAGATTGGATTTGCACATTTAAACATAAGATGTTAAATAAAGTTCAAATTTATTAGTTTAGCATTGTTTTTCTCAATTAGTTTTAAAATGGATACTTAATAATATTAGTTATACTGATATAACGTGTCTCTGACAATAATAAGAGAGAATTAACCTTGATGGTGCCAGCATCTTTCATGGCTTGTATAATATTGAGTTGCTTTAGGTATTGACGGATTGGAAGTGCAGAGATGACGACCTCTACTTGTCGAAGCACAGAAACTAGTTTTTCATGGTCATCTAGCTCACGCTGTTTTAATTTCCAATACATAGACGAAAGAATCAGTGTCAAAACATATATAATCATCAAAGGCAAACACATTATATATTATAGGGAAATTAAAGAAAATATTTTCCTGGAAAAGGGTGACTCTCCCATGGACTCAAATTCCCTGGGAAGTTGGAGCTTGGAAGAGTTGTTGTCGTTTGGTTTGAGAGGGCGAGTGTAGGCGTAGGTGTCATGGCCCATAGAAATGCTTGCCTTTACCAGGTACGTTCCCAGGTATCCCGTCGATCCAAATATCAGTATCTTGCTCTTTTCCAATGCCATTTTCCAGTCAGTACCGCACTCGTTTGACGTCTACCTTCCTGAAACAAAATGACAGTAGTGATTAATTGATGCAATTTAGTTCAAAATGCAGAAATACATGAATCTGGACCACAAGCCTAAATATCATCTGGGGAAAGTGCACCTAATCACCTTTTTCTTTTTTTTTTAATTAGTACAATTTTTGGCAAATAAGAGAGGAGAATAGACAATACAGACAAAAAAAACCCTCAAATTTGAAAGGAGTGGGTAACAGTAGTACTATTTTTACCCCAATCGAATGGATAACAGTACTATTTTTATCCACTCTATGAACTAAAGAATAATGATAAGAAAGTCGAAAAAAGAGATGAATTCAAATAACGAATTTGAGGTAACCTGCCACCTAGCAGTATGTTAATAAAATAGGGATTTATATATGTCTCACCTCTTTTTTACATTCTCTTCATGTTTTTGTGATCTTTTCTTTGTTTTGTGTTCATTCAAATCCAAATTTTTTCTTCTAAATCTTCATCCTTTGTCACTATTTTTCTCATTCCCCTTGCAAAGACTAACTGTGAATTTAGAATTTCTACTTGTTAGAGTTTAATTTTACCAGACAGTTAGGGTTTAGTTTTTTTTGTTCTTTTTTTTTTTTTTTGAACTTTTAAAACCATGGCTATGAGATTTTGATTGCTAGGTTACGGTTGAGCCTGGTCCTTGAGTTCAACAAAGTTCACTAGAGGAGGAGCTTGGCAAAAAAGGGGAGATGAGAGAGAAAGATAGGAGATTTTGAAAGGAAAAAAAAAATAGAAAGAAGGTAGAAGATAAACAGAAAAAAATAACTTAATTTAAATTTTTTAAAATTAATATATTAACATGGCTTGCCATGTTATTGATCCAAAAATTTCATCTTTTTTATTCGTTCTTTGTATCATTGTCATAAACTAAACTCAATCTCATAATTTTTTTCTGTGAATATTAAATGTGTAATTCAAATCTCACGTCTCTAAAGTTATGAGTAGTCACTAACAAAAAATAATAGTCATTAAACCATTCTCAATCTCTTAATTAATGTCAAAATATAAATTAAGATAAAAATCATATAAATATCCTCCTTCCCCACCTCAAATTCTACCCGTTAAAAAAAAAATAATAATCA